TTATTTCTTTCAATTTGTTCATGCAGCCAGAGCAAGGGAAGGAGACAGGGAGGGCATACCAGACAAGGCAAGGAGGGCAGGTCACAGGGCAATACGTCGAGTGCAGATGTGCACGATGGTCATGCTTGTCGCAACCAAATCAAATCTTCTTGCTTTGCATTTTTCCGCCGATATCAAGGAGCATGGACAGCAAGGCGAATGTCAGCGCACGACCATCGAAATATAGCGAAGACTGATCAGTACATCATTCGGGAACCGAGCTGGTACCCATGCAGCGACTACGTGTTGTTATGACGCTAAAAAAGTGTTTATGTGTGCGGCTTCCCATACGGGCGGGGGCAGGTCCGTCGCCTTTATGTGTCGCACAACCGCAGAGGGCTTGAAGCCTCCCAGCTCGGCTACTAAGCTGGTCCGACCATACCTCCAAGCCTCCTTGCTCTAACGAAAATGGGTTTCTCGGACCTGGCGCACGTCTTCCCATCAGGGAATCAAGGACCCGGTCGGGCAAAAAAGAACCTGAGGACAGGACACGGTCAGGCAGCAGGCATGCAGCACAGCATGAGGCTTCGTGTGAGCCAAGAGAATCAGAGCGGTTGAGCATGACGTGACGACAAGTGATGAGCACAAATATCAGAGGATCTTGCTGCAAATTATTCGCGAGCACGCCTTTTTCGCGGACCAGCGGTCGAGCTGTGCAGATCTCAAACCTCGCCGGTCGGCATGACCGAGCCAAAATCGTTCTTAAGGTTCGCAAGCAGAGAAGGCAGTTGGGCAGTCTTCCCATTCCGAGTGCTTCGTCGGGGACCTGGTCGGGCAAAAAAAATTGAGGACAGGACACGGTTGGGCAGCAGGCATGCAGCAAAGTTTTTGTGTGAGCCAAGAGAAACAGAGCGGTTGAGCATGACGCCACGACAAGCGATGAGCACAAACATCAGAGGTTCGTGCAGGCGAGCATGCTTTTTTCGCGGACCAGCGGTCGAGCTGTGCAGATCTCAAACTTCGCCGGTCGGCTGCATCACCGAGTCTCACCTCTCCAACTTGCCCTCTTTTGCGTGTGGTTGGTTTTATTTTGTACGTAGGCTGGCTATAGACGTCCCTAGCCTAGTACAGTCTGCGTTCATTACAAGCTAGTGGCTAGCCTTTTGTATGAAAGGGTGGAGCTTCGGCAAGCGAACGAGACATCCATGGGTGAAGGGTCACTCAGACGCCCGAGGCCGGGGTGAAGTGATGCCTCGTGACATGGCCCAGGAAACGCCAATTCTCGTCGTATTGCACGCGGGACAGCGCCACATAGGCCGCGGCCTCTACATTCGGGACGTCCAGCCAGACTGTGATGTGCTCAAGTGTTGCTCCTTGGATCTTCTGCAAGGTCGTCGCGTACCCGAGCCGGAGCGGCAAGTAGGTGACTCTTCGCTGTTGCCCTGCGATCAGAATCTCGTCGTCCGTGTAGGGAAATACGGAGATGACGTCGCCGCAGTGTGTTTGGACCAAAACGGAGGAGCGTTGCACCGCAAGCACGACAGCCCGCATGCCGTTGACGAAGTTCTGCTCCTTCTGCACGTTCCGGGTAAGGGTCACTCGCATGCCCGCATAAATAGGGAGATGAAGCGGCGCACAGTCCACGAGCTGGCCGAAGCGGTCGTAGTTGTCCACGTTGCTTTCATATAGTCTCCTGGCACGAAGCAGAGCGGCTCCGCATCTCCGTACAGGGCATGGACGGCCAGGTCGTTGAGCAGCGCGGCATTGCGGCGAGTGATGGTGAGGAACAAGGTTTGCGGCGTTTCCTGCAGCATGCCCTGGACGTCCAGCTCCGTCGGCTCGGGACTCATGCCGGGGCCGCGATCCGGCATCGCCCGATGCCCGCGCAGGAGGCGGAGCAGCTGATCCTTTGAAGGCTTGGTCGTGCGCAGAAGCTCCAGCTTCCAGCGCAACTCAGAACACTTGCAGCGCCGCATCGTCTGCAAGTGGCGCTTGACGACGTGTTGCCAGCGAGGGCTGTCTGTGGCCCTGGTGGGATCCATGCCACGCAGCTGGTGAAAGTCGCCGACGAACACCAAAGCCGGGCGGCGGTCGGCATTTTCCCACAGCCACAGAAGGCGCTCGAACGTGGTCCGGGAAAGTTGGCCGACTTCGTCGATGACGACTAAGTCGAAGCTTGCCATGCAATCCCATGTCTGCTCTTGAGGAAGGTGCAACAGGAACATGCCGTGCAAGGTGTCGACATCCAAGCCCGGGAATTTCTCGCGGTATGCACTCGCAAGCATGCCGGTTGGACATGCGACTCCAACATGGGCGCCGGCTTCCGCCGCACGACGGATCGCCACCTCTAGCGCGGTGCTTTTGCCAGACCCGGCAGGTCCCAAAACGCAGAAGGGCTGCAGGACCTGTGGGGGCGAACGGCGCGTTCGATCAAGGAAGTCGTACAGCTGGTTCGGGTCTGCTTCTCCAGGATAGCGTCGCTCGAGTGCCCAGTAGAGCATGTTCCGCACGTGCTCCACCACGACTGCTTGTTCCGGATCCAGCTCTCCGCGGTAGCCGACTTCGGGGGCGGCGAGGAGCTCTGGCTGGGGAGGACAGTCCACGTCGAGCACCAATTGACCGGAGAGATAAGCATCGACGACAGCAGTGCGACTCTCCAACATGGCGAGGACGTTGCAGATGTGGGCGTCCTTGCGGCCTTCCAGCTGCAGGTCATGTTGCACATCATGGGGGCGACGCCAATAGCCGGGACGATGCAGCAAACACAAGGCCAGCATGCGATAGCCCTCGGGCACCATGGCCGCCCGATCATCCCACAGTTCTGAAAGCGATCGGAAAGGCACGTTGAGCAGTAGCCACTGCCCGAAGAAGCTGTCCCGCAGAGGTGAGTGCAGTGTCGCTGCAACGAGAACGCGACGCTTGTTTGTCCGCTTCTCCCCAGATTGGTTGCATTGCCGCAGGTACTCAAGGAAGGTGCAGCTCTCGGAACGCCACGGGCAGGTCATGTAGAGGGACTCCCAGCGGCCAGGAGGACAGCCGTTCCAAGGCGGGCGCACGACCACGCGGCGCAGCACGCCGGTTTGGAGCACCTGCCGAAATTGCTGGCCGGCGAGTTGAAGCCACATCTCGGGCTCAAGGGGGTGGTACTCCATGAGCACTTTCCGGGCCAGTTGGAAGTCTGTTGCTTCCTCGTTCAGCCAGCTAGTGGCAAATTGGTCGCTGAACTTCGCTGTGTAGGTGGATGCATATTGGAGCAACAAACCACGACCATCGCCCATCTGCACGTCCATGTGGCATTGCAGGGCGCCCAGCACGTCGGGGAGGTATGCACGGACATGTGCCGCGTGTGCGTCCGCTGGATGATGGAGTTGCAAGACACCGGCGACCTCGTCGAAGACAGTCGGGCCGTCTCGACGCGGCCAGGCACTATCATCCCAATCTAGCTGGGATCCACGGACCAGGTCGTGCAGCTCTGGCTCCGTCGTGGCATCTGGTATATCTGCGCGGAGGACCCGAGGCCAGTTGACGCTGTCCGCGTTTCGAAGCCAGACCAGGAGGTGCAAGTGCACGCGGCCGGAACCGTGATAGGATTGGCTTGGGCCTACGTGACGTTTGCGTTTGCCGTCTTGGAATTCTAGACGGCCAAAAACCTCCTTCACCGCGGTGCCTCCAGCGTCACTGCTAGCCAAGACGTGCCGATCCCAATGTCGCCGCGCATCAGCCGTTTGCCGACGATTGGTCCCAGCCAAGAGGCCCTCGGCGATCTGAAACAAGAGGTGGGCAAGGTGGAACGTCTCTGCGGCCGGAAGGTCCGTGCGGCAACGACAAGCCTTGAGAAGCTCGTCCTGGAGCCAACGGTGGTACGGCGCTGAAATTTCCAAGGGTGCGACGGTCACGAACATGGACGGAAAGCCAATTTGGCGAGCGCAATCCACGAGGCCGGCGTGGATGTTTTGCCAGTACAGCGGTGAGAAGCTCCTCCCGGCCAAAGCACCACGCAGGGTCGTCGGTGCTGTGTTACGAGCGCCGCCGAGAGAGCTCCACAGCCAGAGATCGTACACGAAGTGGGCGAGGTCGCGATTGGTGCCGTAGCCGATCACCGGCGACAAAACCTTCGCGACGAAGCTGGCCTTGGCGCTCTGGCGCGTCGCAGCCTCTTGCTGCGGCTCCTCTGCCTCCGACTCTTCCTCGTGGCCATGGGATTCTTCGAACCAGTCTTGAGCATCTGGGAGTCGACCAGCTGGCTCTTCCATGGGGACATCGTCGTCGTCCGGGTTGTTTGCCTCTTGTGCTGCTCGAGCCAAGCGCCGGGCGTCCATGCTGCGGATGTACGTCTCGCACATGGTGCGATCCCAGTACAGGTGGGGCCACACTGCAGATTCTAGCCCGATCGTTTCCATAAAACGAAGTGGCAGCCATGGCACAGGGGTTGCAGCGTCCAGGTCGCCTTGGTCAATAAGACGCTGCCGGTGCTGGAGGAATTCATCGTGACATTTCAAGAAATCCCGGTACGGACAATCCTCAGCGGTGACCAACCACGCGTATGCAGCACGTCCACGACGCCAGGCTGCACGAGGAAGGGTGCTGAGACGCTCTTCGACGGATGTCGGTTTCCAGCTGAATCGCACACAACTGGTGTGCACCCAGTACCCGTGAGCTGCTCTTTCGGCGGGGCCCGTGTAGACGTCGAGAATGGTCAACGCTGCCAGCACTTCTTCAGGCAACAGCCGCAAAGGTTCAGGAACATCCGAAGGTCGTGGTACCCAATACCCCACGCCGGCAGCACAGTGTCCACACGCCGGGAGACTCGGTTGGAGGCGGGCCGAGGAGCGCAGGTGCTTCGGCTCGAACGATTGCGGGACCATGCGGGCACACTGCCGGCAAATGCGCCAGGACCAAGTCTGCGCGAAGCTTGAGAAAGCCTTGGCCAGCTCCGTTTGCCACTCCTCTGCTGGCCGCCCGTCCTCGGCGTAGACAGCCGGAAATTTGCGCTGCAAAGCTCGGAGTTGACTCGCACGGCCCCTTTCGTGCGCGGTCACCGTCTCCGGTGACGGCGCGAACTGTACCTGGCGAGATTCGAGGAAGGAAGCCCAGTCGGCGGGATCTTCTCCGCGATGACGTCGAGCCCGAGCCTCGGCTTGCTGCTGCGCGCGTGCGCTGCGCTCCCGGGCTGTAGCACCACGTTGATGTAAATGTCGCTGCAGGCGCTGATCGCACTCGTTCCAAGCGGCTGCCCCAGCCAGGTCTTGAATCCGTTGCACTGCTTGGGGGAAAATGATTTCCGGGCTCTGTTCCCAGAAGAAAGCCAAGGCACCGGTAATGACACCCTTGCCTCGAGCCTTGGCCAATCGCTCGCCCAGCACGTCCGCCGAACAGAACGGGCAGGAAGTTTGCCCACGATTGGAGGTGACCCGTGCTGCCTGGCCCAGGGTAGCCGTCGAAAAGATGCAAGCTTGTCGCTCTCTACCAATGAAGCCACTGCAGCACTCCGAAGGACGATGCCGCGCCATGTGGGGCTGCTTCAGACAAGTAGGTTTGCTACGGAGCAGAAAGGAACCCAAAGCAACCTGGGTGCGGCAGGGGCAAGTATACAACGTGTCAGGCTGCAGACCACGAAGGTTCAAGCTACATGCGCGTTGCAAGACGAGCATAGCAAGACTACGCAGACATTATGCAAACTTTTTTGCGGCCAGTTGCGACAACTTGCTGCGGTCAAACGAGATATAGCATGAGTCATGTAAAAGAAACGTTTCTTCGCAGCGCAGGCTGGCTGGAGCTGGAGATTATGCCGGTGGTCGAGCGTAGGGTCCACGCGGGCCACGACGAGGGCGTTCAGGATCCCGACGACGGCGTGCACGCTCACAGCGTGCTTCCATGTCCGCCCGTGCCTCCGGGCCGAGGACTTGCTGCACGCGAGCCAGTGCAGCTTGCAAACCAACTTCGTCCAACCTCGTCAAGAAATGCGTCAAGAGACCAGTGTGGCGATCATTGTAGCGAGCCTGCAAGGCTTCACTGTCACAGAGATAGCATTGTCCTGCTTCACCTGCAGGAAGCGCGGCACCGCCCAATCCAAAGGTACAGAGTTGCCCTCCATGTGAGCCGCTGCAGGGTGCGCCCGCAGCGGGACGCCACATGCGTCTCAATGCCCAGCCACGACCGCGATCCGCTGGCACGTCGCGGGGCACGGCCGCAGGATGTGGAGCTGCAGCCGGAAGCATCGGAGGTGGCTCGGCGGCCAGGCCCAAGGCAACAGGGGGGACGGGAGCACCAGCACCATCATCAGGAGGTGGGTCGTTCGAGCTGGAACTAGACGTGGCCGAGGATGAAGACGACGAGGAGCGTGCACTGAAAGCCAAAGTCCATAGCCTGTAGCATCGAAGCTGCAGTGGATCGTCTTAATGTCAACATGTTTAGTTGATTTAAAGGTGTACAATGGCACAGCGTAAGAACTCGAAGCCGAGGGAGCGGCTGGATGCAGAGGAGAAGAGCAGTGGTGAAAGCTGCAGCCATGTGCGCGGCCAAGCCTATCTGAGCCACGAAGGGAAGCTCGAGCAGTCAAACTCAGTGAGTCACAGCTCATTCTGAAGCAGTGCAAGTAGACTAAACGAAAGACAGCTAGAGCGGGAAACTACTGCGGAAAGAAACAGAATAGTAGAAAGGTTAATGGGTAGTGTATCGGCACGAAACCGAACTAGCTGAGCAGAAATGTGCTTTTGCTTGCTGTGGTTCTTGCCTGTCATATGAATGCCAACCGTGCACTACTACTGCCAGAACAAGCACTGCATGCACTTTTCGACAAGAAGACAATCTCTGCGGGCACAGCAGCGTCGTGGTGATCGGCCATGAGCAGGTGGTAATACAGGTTAACTATACTACATGTGCCACTCAATCGACTTTGCGCACGAAGACGACCTCGGGAGCTGTTGTTGCAAGCGTGGTGTTTGCAGTAATGGGGACACACGTGCCATCCCGCAGCACATAGGGCGTCCAATTGACGA